AAACTCGCTGATATCCTTGTTATTGCTGGACATCATGTGGTACCATTCTTTTTTTACAAATTAATCGCAACGCTCAATTACACTAGGAACTCCAGGCCGATATTTAAGATGGTCATGGTATCTAAATGCTGATTATTTATCGAAGAACTAGACTGCTGGCATCCTTTTCTGGTAGTTTCACCTAAAAATATGAGCAAAGGCATTTTTCAACTTATACAAGTCTTAGAAAAAGATTTTTTAATGCAAATTCTTGTATTCGCTTGAAAGCCAAAATCAAACTAACACATGAAAAGTAAAAACATTTACCTCTCTGAAGAATGGAGGAATTTGGAAAAGCCCGAAGTGGTAACAACTACCAAGGCTGTCGATAGCTCCCTCCTTTGAAGATTGCTTATGCCATGCTGAAGGCATATTTGATTTCCTGACATACGCTAGTATCAGCTGACCATCAAAGCGGACAAGTTAACCGTAGAGGAACTGGTTATTCCACTCGCAAACTAAACCTTCGATTATTTGGATGTGCCTAGCGCTGCTCGCCACTGCGCCATGATCCTCAACGGAGTTTTTTTTATAAAACTTTATAACAATTTTTGCATTTGCATATGTGCACATGCAAAAGCGCGTATTGGCAAGAGGCTCTTTGTGAGTATGTGTCTGTGTGTTCGCGCTTTTTGTTGCCCACTTTCAGCTTGAGAAACAGAAATGCTGGAAAGCTGAAACATCGGGAGTATGTGCCCACCACCTTTGCAAACTTCCCTTTTAATATTTTCACCACGTACGGCTGGATGTCGCGTATGGAAGTCTTGAAAAAATATACAGATTTTCTAGCGTGAAAGCGATTTCGCGATACAGATGAGATAGAGAGCCGAAACTTTGCAGAGATATTCTCTGTACATGTGTGGACTGAAGATTTTGAATTTGGATATGGGCACATGTAGCTTTTGGCGGGAAAATTGCTAGTTTGGCAACCAGAAAAGCTGAAATTTAAAGGGCGTGTTCCTCGTCTCCAAACAACTTAAAGATCTCAAGTTCAGTCCGCAGCTACGCGTGGTGCTCACGAACAGGTATGTGAAAATTTTGGCTAGAAAATTGCTGCCTGGTGAACCAGAAAAGCCGTAAAGCTGAGATTTTAGGTGACTATTCCCCGTCCAACTTAAAGTTTTCAAATTTAGCCTCCAGGTGAGCGCAGTTTTCATGTACGGGTACTTAAAAGTTTTGGCTGGAAAACTGCTTATTGAATAGCTAAATTATTTTCAGAGAAAAACCTTTAAACAGAAATTGCTCATTTCCTTTATGCAAAAGCGTAAATCTTAAAGATTTATGCTAGTGAGTGCACAAGGTAGGTGTAAAGTAACAATCATTCGTGCAGTTAGCGACCTGGTTACTTCAAGTCTAGCGCAAAAACGCATGATTGTATCGGCAAGCCTGGTTCATCCCAGCCTGGATTATTCAGAAAGAAACAAAACTGTGACAGTAATAATGAACATTTGGAGATATGCAGTCCAGAAGTGGAGGACCTGGCATTTTTGCCTCCTACGTGTGGGAGCGTCCCACCAACATTGTTATTACCAAGACTATTCGGGCAATCAATGTTGTGATCCCACAGGAAGGGTAAAACTGTCAATTTATAAATATTAGCTGAGCATCGACTTGTTCAAGTTCTATGCTTTTTGTGCAGCATGTGATCGTACCGGAATGGGATCCGAATTTGACAAGTAATGGAACAAAATATGCACAACGTGTCACACGTCTGAAACCGTCAACGCCATCGCAATTCGTAAAGATGCAGTTCCGTGATGATCCGTTTGGTGATACAGCATCAATAAGTTTTAAGGAAGCTTCAAAATTTATATCAATCTCTAATCAGTTTTGCAAAGGTAGTTAATTATTCAATAAAAATACTACTTTTAAATCAACTGACTAGCTGCGTCAAACTAATGCAATCAGAAAAAAGTTAACTCTATGAATTTATTACGATAAATTTCATCAAAAACAATATCCTCAAGCGAATATGGGCACGAGTATAAAGGTGTTTGTGTACGTGTGTCTGTGTGTGTGCGTCATTTTTTTAGTGTTTTTTTGTTTGTTTAATTTTGTGTATATTTGTTTTTGCACTTGCTTGTTTTCGTGTTTTTTATGCACGTTTGTCTTTGTTTGTTGGTTTTTGTGTTTATTTTTGTGTTCATTTGTTTGTGTTTACTTGTGCACATATGTCTGTGCTTGTATGTGCTTTTATGTCTGTGTTTGTGTGTATATACGGCGAACATTTGGTAGATCCACGGAAACAGCGCATAGTGTTATGACCACTTAAAAGTTTAAAACTGGTTCTTTTTATGCGTTTTTTGCAGCTATGCAATGCAGAAAATGCATATTGACGAGAGGTTGTCTGTGTG